GGTTCCAGTTTTGGTTCATAGGCTGTGGAGCTGGGAAGACACAGTTGGGCCAGTGAGATGGTCCAGAAAGTGAATTAAATCTGGCAAAGAGGAGCATGAAGCGAGGGTGACCCTGAGAAGCCCAGGAATTTGCAGGATCCTTAGAAAGGGGGGTTGGAGCCAATGGTATCTAGATCCTAAGGGGCAGGGAGACCCTAGATACATCTGGAGGTGGGGGAAAGCCAAGGAGGGGTAGAGGAAGTGGAAGAAGGGAAAGAAGTACAAGAGAAAGGAGGAGGAAGCAAAGGAGAAGGAAAAAGAGGAAAGAGAGCACGGGAAGGAAAATAACAAGAGGTAAAAAGACAGAGTTCTAGATCTACACTGTCCAGAGTGACAGCCACTAGCCAGATGTGGCTACTGAGCTCTTGAAATGTGGCGAGATCGAATGGAGATGCCCTGTGAATATAACATACACTCAAAGTACCAAAAAAAAAAAAAAGTTAAACATCTCGTTAATTTTTATATTATGTATTGAAATGATAATGTATTGGAGATACTGAGGTAAATAAAATACATCATTAAAATTAATATCGTCTGTTTCTTTACATGTGGCTACTAGAAAAATTTAAATGACCTATGTGGCTTCCCAGCTCTGCTCTGGAAAAAAGGCTGGAGGAAACGCCTGGAACCATTAACAATGAATAAGGAGGAGGAGGGGAAAGATCTTGTCTTTTTATCTCATTATTTTTAACAATAAGCAAGTGTGACACAAACAAAGGCTTTAAAGACAGGGGGAAAAAGATTGGGGAAGGCGAAATTTCCTTTAAGAGGCTCCGAAAGGAGCCAGGCACAGAGGAAGGGGGTGTCCTCCCGCGGGTTTGGGGGGCCCTGGGATGGGAGCTGAGGGTCCACCAGGCTTCGCAGCTGGGGGAAAGGCAGGAGGCCAGTGCAGGGAGGATGTTCTGGAAATGAGCGCGACGCTTTACTTGCTCACAGGTTCCCTCGAGCATCTTTGAGAACCTGCTCAGGGTAGGGAAGCAGCAGCCGGGGAACCACGTGACCAGGTTCCACCGTGCCTGCCGCTGATTGGCTCGGGCACAGACACCCGACCGCAGCTGGACCAATCAGAGTCTCACTGGTGAAACTGACAACAGGCGCGCAAAGACTCGGCCTGGACCCCGGAGCCCAGAGGTTGCACAGAAACTGGGGGCCTTATGGCATTTGTGGGCACAGCTGAAACCAAGACCCGTATGTGCAGAGGGACTGAGACGGGAGCCAGTGGCCCCAGAGTGGAAGAGAAAAGAGGAAAGAGAGGAACCTTGGCTCCCGACGTTCCGTTTCCCAGAGCCACTTTATAACCGGGTGGGGTGTTGACCCCATATTCTGGAGGCGAAAGTTAAGGGCCGGGAGCTCAACTGACTCGCCCCACATGTAGCTCCCTTTCGAACCCAGTACTATCTGGCTCTAAAGCCGGTGCTGTTAAGCACCTTCAGGGGACTGTTGGGAACTCTCGGGCCGTGGGGGACACCAGAACCCCGGCATTATACGGGAAGATATGGGAAACTGGTCTCTAGAGAGAAGAGAAGCAGGTGGGAGAAACACGGAAGCGGGACAGCTGTGGAGAAAGATGGCCAGAGATGCTTAAGATCTGACAGACTTTCAGGGATATTCTATTTATAATTTCTGTGAGTTTTCCGCCTCCCCCTACTAGAATGGACGCTTCAAGAAAAGGGGGCTTAGGCATCTGGAACAGAGCCGAACACATCAAAGACTTGTTGACAAAATGAATGAACGGATGGATGGATGCACGATTTAAAAAAATTTATTTGTCCTGTTCTGTGCTGTCCTAACACCTCTGCGCGTGATTCTCCAAACTCAATAGCCACCTTAGACCTCCAGCAAGGGATCGCTGCTCTGACCCCGTGCTTTTGGAGATTGCCCCACCCCCACCCCTAGGGAAGGGAGTCCCTGGGGCCCAGGGGTCGTGCTCACCCAGAACCCGCACCTCCCTTGGAGATTATGCTCCGGGAACCTGTGGTAGATAGAATAATGACCTCCCCAAAGATGTCCACACCCTGTCCTTGGAACCTATGGCTTTGTTATCTTACATCGAGATACATCTTACAAACAGACTTGTAGCTGTGGTTAAATTAACGATCTTGGGATGGAGAGATGGTTATCCCGGTGGGCCTGATATAATCACAGGGTCCTTAGAAGAGGGAGGGAGGAGGGGCAGTCAGAGAAGGAGATGTGACATCCCAAGCTGAGTTTGAGGGATTGAAGGCCACGAGCCAAGGAAGGCAGGCAGCCTGAGAAGCTTGAATGGTTTGCTAGCTTGATTTATAAAGTGTAAATCATGAGACATATGGCATACGAGCCTCCGTTTGTACTCTTGCAGTGGGCCTGCAAACGTGAGCTGTGGGCGGACCCAAAGCTCAATTAAGAAAGAAAAGCCTGTTACTAAAACCACGTCCTGTGAGTGGGGCTTCAAGGGTGGAGGGTGAATGAAGGAGAAAGGCAAGTCCTTGAAGGGGTGAAGTGGGGCAGAGAGGAGAGCAGTTGGAGTTGGCAAGAGAAAGAAGAGGCGACTGAGAAGAAAGAGCTGAAGTTCTCAGGATCAGAAATGCTTTCAGGGAAAGCATAGAGAGATGGGGGACAAGAGACCGTGTGGCCCCTAGAAATTAAAAGAGAAGAGCTAGAGTGCTGGAGAAGGAAGAGGTGCAAGAGAGAAGCTGCTAGGGGGTAAAAGACAAACTCCTCAAGGGCAGGACTCTGGCAGCTGGCTTGGCTCCCACTGTCTCCATTTACAACCTCTTCCTTTGTCATTTTTACAACAGAGGCTGGAAGACTACAGTGCTCAATTCCCCAGCTTCCCCTGCAGCTAGGAGTGGCCATCTGACACGTTCTAAGAAAGGGCTATAAGTCCCTGAGAAAGGTTTATTTTCCCCAATAAAAAAAGCAAGGCCTTGCCAGGAGAAAATCTTCCACTCTTGTACCCTTCCTCCTCCTCCTCGTCTGGAACGAAGACGTGTTCCATGGCGTGGCAGCAGCCATCTTGTGACCATGAGGCAACCAAAATGAGCATGAAGGTCTCTGCTTCAAGGTTGGTGGAACAAATATATGGAAAGAGTTAGGATTGTGGATAGTATCTTTGAGCTATCCTGCCAGCCCTGGACTTTCTTATTGTGACAGATAAAGAAACCTCTGTTTAAGCACTCCTAGTGGATCCGGGAAACTTACCTATTTTGTTGACTACTGTTGTCCAGTGCAGGAACTGTGCCCGGCACAGAGTTGGTACTCTTTAAAAAATTTTTAAATGAATGAATGCCTTTCACATGTCCACAAAGCCTAGCTTGACTTTCTGCAGCTGGTTCTGAGAGACTCCACTGTATTCTTACGCTTACCCAACCATTTTACTTGAACCAGGTTGACTGGGTTTCGTTTCTTGCAGCCCAATAATTCTAATCAAGACAGAGGGGTCAAAAAGATCCGCTGAGGAGTGGCTTCTTGAGGGGTCAGCAGAGGGTGGGCCTTGGGGGAGGTGATTTAGAGGACTTGACGGCACCACTTACACCCGCCTCCATCCACTCTCCACACGTCAGCCAGAGGGGGCATTTACAGGCAGAAATCAGATCAGCCCCGTCCCCACAGCTTCTTACTGCCTTTCGCATAAAACCCAGCCCTCACCTTGGCCTCAGGGTCACATTCTGTGTCCTACTCTCATCTACCCTCTAACCTGAGCTCTCCATCCTTCAGCCACGTTGGCCTTCTTGCTGTTCCTCCAATAAGCCAACACCTCAGGCCCTTTGCACACCCCGTCCCCTCTGCCTCTTAGGTCCACCTGGCTAGCTCCCTCACCTCCTTCAGGGCTCTGTGCAAGTCACCTCCTTTGAGAGGCCTGCCCCCAACACGCTGGTGAATAGGCCCCGGCTCTCGCTCACCGTCACTTTCTGAAATGATGGTGCTGATTTTTCTGCTTGCATGTTTACTGTTCATTTCCTACCTCTAGGTGGTGAGCTCCCTGTGGGCAGGAACTGCAGTCTGTTCATTCACTGCCCGGCCTAGAGTGGGGGCTGAGAAAATAAATGCTTGCCGAATGACCAACTCAGAGAGGGACAGGGAGAGAGTTACGGTGCTCAGCTTTGTTGTAACTTTGAACTGCACTTTGGCACCGGAACTTAACTTTGTCCTTAGGATCTGCGAAACGGATGTTAAAAACGTTAAAAAAAAACCAACATAGGGGCTGGCCCCGTGGCCGAGTGGTTAAGTTCGCGCGCTCCGCTGCAGGCGGCCCAGTATTTCGTTAGTTCGAATCCTGGGCGCGGACATGGCACTGCTTATCAGACCACGCTGAGGCAGCGTCCCACATGCCACAACTAGAAGAACCCACAAGGAAGAATACACAACTATGTACCGGGGGGCTTTGGGGAGAAAAAGGAAAAAAATAAAATCTTTAAAAAAAAAAAAAAGATAAAAAAAAAACCCAACATAATCCACGTATTGATTCCAGTGAGTTCAAACCTAATGATAATAATTATAGCAGCAAACACCTGCAGTGTGCCAGGCACTGTTCTAAGTATTTTGCATGGATTAACTAAAAATAATCAATATAATAATATATTTACTAACTAATAATAATAACTATGATAATTCTTATAACAACCCTATGAGGTGAGTCCTCTTATCCCCATCTTACAAGGGAGCAAACGGAGGCTCAGAGAGGTTGAGTAAGTTGCCCAAGGTCACACAGCCAAGAAAGGACAAAGCCAGGATTTGAACTCTGGCAGTCTGGCCTCAGAATCCATAACTACTGGATCCCTAAAACATCACAAGGATCCTACTCCTGGAGGAATAGTTCGTTCCCACCCTGGGTGACCTCTGCCTTCCCAGCTGACCCACCCTGGGCTCACTTCTGAGGCCGATGAATGACCCTTGACCCCTCGCCACCTGCAAGCATCCTCAGGGTCCCCAGCAGCCCCCCGCTCCCCAACCCCACACCCCGGCCCAAAGTCTGTGCTGACCCTGCCTTGAGCTGAGTGAGCGCTTCCTCCACGCGGGGCTGGTTGTAGCGCACCATGTAGCTGTGCATGTCGGGGTAGTTGCTACGGATGTTCTTCTCCGTGGACCCGTTGGGCACCGTCCCGAACTTCAGGGGCGGGTACTGCTCCTGGGGCCGCTGGAACTGGGGCAGAATGGGGAGTTACGAGGGCGCCCTCTCTGGGGGGCATCTGGGTCGAGGATGTCCTTGACCAGCTGCTCCATTCTGGGGGGACACCCGCCAACCGGCGGACGCCCCAGTCCAGAAGTGTCTTTCAAACTTGCTCACTGTGACCCACAGTAGGAAACACTACTCAACCAGCACGTACGTCCACAGATGCGCACGTATGCATACGTAATCGGGAGTCATACTGAAGTATTTCACAGGCAGCATCGCCTGATCGTGGGCAACAAAGCTCAAGGAGGGTCCCGGAGGCCCCTGACCGGCCAGGCATTAACCCTTAACTTGCTGGACCATGGGAGGTCCCAGGGGCAGGGGGCTGGCAGGGCGGGGGCTGGGGGTAGTTGCTATTTCCCAATCCGTTCAGAAATAGTTCCCTGTTTTAACGACAGACGTAGCCAGACAGGTGGATGCTGGCTCAGTGTCAAGTGTGTATATGCCTAAAACAAAAGTTTCATAAAACCACCCTCACCCTTATTACGTAAGATGCAGTCAAACATAGTTTCTAGTCTATTCCATTCCATTAAAACAAAACAACGCTTGTTGCAATCCATTGACTTGGGCTCTCAACCTTCTAACGGGTCGTGACACCCAGTTAACCACTTTAGTCTCAAAGCGGGCCCTGCCGACCACCAGTCCCTGAACACACTGTGAGCCACCACGAGCTCGGGAGAGCATTTCGAGCAATTTGGACAGAATAATTTTCGGTCTCTTGAACCTAATAAATAAGAATTTGGGTTTGGATTTTGCATGTCCTGGTTTTAAATTTTATCTCACTTTTCTAGTAATTCATTTGTATTTTACTTTTGCAAATGCATGGGCCTCCACTGGATTAGAAATTTCATAAGTTAGCCCCTCATCACAGTTTGAGAGAGGCACTGGTCTAGAATATCTCACTACGGCCCCTAGAACGTGTGGGGGCCACTCTCTTCCCCTGGAATATTTAAAGATGTAAACTTTCTCCTCCAGAATGTTCCATTCTACCATTCTGGGACTCTTTCTGGGAAGAGACCCCCAAGGACCTCCCATGTGCTAAGCTCTGTGACCTCCAACCCCAGCCACCTCCCCATCCCCCCACCCTGGCCCCAAACACACACACCTTTCGGTCACTGAGCCCAGACACGGTGTCCACGTACTCCTCCTGGATCATGAAGGCGGCCAGATTGGCTGTGTAGCTGGCGAGGAAGATGACGGCGAAGAAGGCCCACACCAGCACCATGATTTTGCTGGTGGTCCCTCGGGGGTTCTCCACGGGCACCGAGTTATTGAACACCAGAGCCCAGAGCAGCCAGATGGATTTCCCAATGGTGAAGGTTGAGCCACCAGGGCCTGCAGAGGGCCAGGAGGGGGACATGGACCCCAAATCCCTTCTGCTCAATGAGGGAGCAGAAAGAACTACAATTCCCAGTGGCCCCCAAGGCCTCTAGCACTTCAAGAGGCCCTGGCTCTACCCCAGGGGCTGCTGGGAAATGTAGTTCTATCCGTGGTCCAGGCGCTCTGGGGTAGGGGGTTGGAGGAAGGGCGGACTCACGTTTGCCCGTGGCCAGGCTGCGGTTGTAGCCGACGGGACTGAGGTACTCGAAGATGAAAACAGTGACGGCGACCACCGTGAGGCACATGACGAACATCATCACCCACACGGCGGGGCTGTAGGGTTCTGGGGGCGAGGAGGTGTGTGGTCATGTCTCAGTCAAGCAAAGGATCGGGGGGGGGGGGGGGGGGGA